CCCTGGCTGAGGATAATGTTTGGAGCGCACCCAGTTGAGGACTATAACTCCCAACAGCTGCTCTTGGCTCAAGTAGAGTTTTGAAATAATAAAAATCTAATTCCCTAAAAACTGAATCGGACTGCATGCACACTGCAGAAATAATCCAGTTTGACACCACTTTAACTGCCATGGTTCAGTGCTATGGAATCTGGAAATTGTAGTTTTGTGAGACATTTAGCCTCCTCTGTCAGAGAGCTCTGGTGGTACAACAAACTACAAATCCCAGAATCCCATAGTAGGAGCCAGCATGGTGTAGTGGTTTGCGTGTTGGACTACAACTCTGGAGACCGGGGTTCAGTTCCCCACTCGGCCATGAAAACCACTGGGTGACCCTGGGCAAGTCACACTCTCTCAGCCTCAGAGGAGTGCAATGGCAAACCAGCTCTGAACAAATCTTGCCAAGAAAAACCCATGATAGGGTCGCCATAAGTTGGAAACAACTTGAAGTCACACAACAAGAACAATAGCAACACTATGGTTTCTTGGCAAGATTTATTCAGACAAAGTTTGCCCCCATATGCTCTTGGGAGTCCTATTCCAACACTCAAACCACACCAGTTCCAAATAATTAATTTAAAATAAATCTATTAAAAGACAAAAAGATTTTTTAAAAATTAACAAAACACCACACTGCTGAAAGCTCCTGCGCCAACTTCTAAAAGCTGGTTGAAATAGAAGCTTGCACTTGTCCATGGAAGGAGAGCATGGAAAGATCCATCCTAGTTTCCCTAAACAGGGAGTTGCTAAGCATGGGAGCAGCCACCAAGAAGGCCCTGTGCCATGTTCCAAGGATACCTCTTGTAAAATAGAAGCAAAGTCATAGAACAGGGGTAGGCAACCTTTCCCCTTTAAGGGCCGAGGGACTTCAGCTCCCAGAATCCCAGGAGCTATTGGCCAACATGGGACCATTGGCCAACATGGCTGAGGCTTCTGGGAGCTGAAGTCCCTTGGCCCTTAAAGGGGAAAGGTTGCCTACCCCTGTCATAGAATCATAGATTTGGAGGAGGCCACAAGGGTTATCCAGTCCAACACCCCCTTCTGCCATGCAGGAACTCTCAATCAAATCATACCCAACAGATGGCCATCCAGCCTCTGTTTAAAAACCTCCAAAGAAGGAGACTCCATCATCCTCCGAGGGAGTGTGTTCCACTGTCGAACAACCCTTACTGTCAGGAAGTTGCTCCTAATGTTGAGGTGGAATCTCTTTTCCTGTAGTTTGCATCCATTGCTCCATGTCCTAGTCTCTGGAGCAGCAGAAAACAAGCTTGTTCCCTCCTCAATATGACATCCCTTCAAATATTTAAACAGGGCTATCATAGAATCTTAAGAGTTGGAAGAGACCTCAAGGGCCATCCAGTCCAACTCCGTTCTGCTATGCAGGAATACACAATCAAAGCACTCCTGACAGATGGCCATCACCTCTTAACCATCTCTTCTCCAGTCTAACACATACCCAGTTCCCTAAGTCGTTCCTCATAGGGCATTATGGTTTCCAGACCCTTCACCATTTTAGTTGCCCTCCTTTTGACACGCTCCAGTTTTTCAACATCCTTTTTGAATTGTGGTTCCCAGAACTGGACACAGTATTCCAGGTGAGGCCGGACCAAAGCAGAATACAGTGGCACTATAACTTCTCTTGATCTAGACACTATACTTCTATTGATGCAGCCTAGAATCACATTGGCTTTTTCAGGTGCCGCATCACGCTGTTGTCTCATGTTCAGCTTGTGATCTATGAAGACTCCTAGATCCCTTTCACATGTACTGTTGTCAAGCCAGGTATCCCCCATCTGCGCATTTCGTTTTTATAGGCTTTTTGCATATTTGATTCCTTCCCAGTTGCCTCTAGGAATTTCTAAGTCCTCCAGTGCAATTTGGCTAGAAATTGACCACAGAGTTGTGCTGGAGAACCTAGAAGTTCCTACAGAAAACACCTCTCTAGGCATTTGTAGGTCCTCCAGCATGACTCTATGGTCAATCTCTGGCAGATGTTGTCCATAGAGTTGCACTGGAGGACCTGGAGCTTCCTAGAGAGGTGTTCTCTTAGGTCAGGTTTAGGCAACCTTTTTGAGCCGGAGGCCAGGTTGCTGTCCCTCAGACAAT